CCACCTATCTCTCAAATGGACCATTGACACTCCTAATTGAGATTGTAGATAGAGTTGTCAATGGTCTATTTGAGAGATAGGTGGCGGTAATGCACTTATAAGTCTGCGATCCACCGTAAAGCAAGAAGAAGAAGAAGACGCCTCACGCCCTGCTGTTGAGAATGCGCTCAGGACAGTTCAGACATTGCAGTGCATCAGAGGTAAAAAACTATATAAATACTGTTCAGTTTCTTGCACAGACCGATCGTTTCGTGTCTTAAGACCTCAGTGTATCGTCACGAGCCGCAGGGTTTAATTTGGTTTTGTTTCTGTATGTTTTTTTGACTCTCAAAGCCGTGATTCCCATTCACTTCCATTATAAGACTGACAGACTGCAATGTTTGAGTAAAAAATCTTTGTTTGTGTTCTACTGAAGAAACAAAGTCACCTACATCTTGGATGCCCTGGGGGTAAGCAGATAAACATCACATTTTCATTTTTGGGTGAACTATCCCTTTAAGATTAGTTAATGCACCTGAACAAACAGTGACGAAATGTATTTTTATTAACTAGTAATTCTTATCACTAAAAGCACACTAATACCATAAATGATTACCATATTAATTTACCATGGTTTTCCAAAGAGTAGAATGTCTTTTTGTGGTCCAATCAGAGTATCAGATGGTAAAACCATGGTATTTTTGATATATACTGTGTATTTAATATATATTGATAGTACTGTTTACCATATTCATATACCATGTTTTTTCAAGGTACTTCAAAGAATACCATGGTACTACCTCTATATATGGCCAAAATCTACAATATTATCATTGTACATAAAAACCAGAAAACATGGTATTAGTAAAATTAACTGAAAATAAAAAAATAGCTTAAAAAAGTCGAACAATTTTTTTTTGCTATTTTTACTTTTTTCTAAAAACCCTTTTAACAATTTATTTCAGTTAACATATTTTATTTTTGTATCAAACATTTATTTTTATGGTTTTACTTTTAGTAATTTAAACTATAATAACCCCAGCTGATGAGTTTTGCATAAGCAGGCTCATTTTATTCAAAAAACAAAAATATTTAGCCTGTTTCTACATATTATATTTCTCTTTTTAATATAGGTTGAATAGAGTCTGATCACCGTCGCTTTATAATTCCAGATGATCCGTCTGAATGATGACGGGCTGAAAAAGCAGTCTGAGCGGTAATGAAATGGCACTATCTGGGCCTCCTGCCCACCGTTTGGTGCAAACCCATGATTTCCCGCGCCAACCCCATAATCTGAGCCTCATTAACCTAAGAGCATCCCGGTGCCAGTGTCCG